AATCTTATTTGGGTTTAAAAAAAAAAAAAAAAAAACAAGAGAGAGAGAGAGGCCAACAGAGATGGCCTTGTGGCCAAGTCCATGATAACAAATGCCAGAAACAAAACAAGGGCTCCTGCTGAGAGAACCACAGGGATGGCCAAGTTTGTCCGGCCACTTGGGAGCTTTGGGGAGCAGCGTGAGTGATTTAACCTGAACTTTCTGCCTCCCTTCGTAGTCACTGGTAACATTTTTTTCCAAATTCCTTGTTAATATAGTCATTTCCTACTTGGAAGTACCAAATTACATAACTTAATCATCCATGACATGCAACAAAAATGCAGCACAGCATCCTGGTTAAGAACATGGCCTCCAGGCCTGGCGCGGTAACTCGTGCCTATAATCCCAGCACTTTGGGAGTCCAACGTGGGCAGATCACCTGAGGCCGGGAGTTTAAGACCAACCTGGCCAATATGGTGAAACCCCATCTCTACTAAAAATATAAAATTAGCCAGGTGCGGTGGTACATTGCTGTAATTCCAGCTACTGGGGAAGCTGAGGCAAGAGAGTCACTTGAACTCAGGAGGCAGAGGGTGCAGTGAGCCCAGATCACCCCATTGCACTCCAGCCTGGGCAAAAAGAGTGAAACTCCATCTCAGAAAAACAAAAAATAAAAAAACATGGACTCCAAGGCTGAGCAGGGTGGCTCACCACTAATCCCAGCACTTTGGGAAGTTGAGGTGAGAGGATCCCTTGAGGCCAGTTCAAGACCAGCCTGGGGAACACAGTGAGAACCTCTTATTAAAAAATATTAAAAAGCAGGGTGTGATGGTGCATGCCTGTGGTTCCAGCTACTCAGGAGGCTGAGGTAGGAGGATCCCTTGAGCTGGGGAGGTCAGGGCTGCAGTGGGCTATGTTCTCACTACTCCACAGCCTGGGTGACAGAGTGAGACCCTGTCTGGAAAAACAAACAGGGCACATTGGCTCACGCCTGTAATCCCAGCACTTTGGGAGGCTAAAGCAGGCGAATCACCTGAGGTATGGAGTTTGAGATCAGCCTGTCCAACACAGCGAAACCCTGTCACTACTAAAAATACGAAAATTAGCCGGGTGTGGTGGCAGGTGCCTGTAATCCCAGCTACTTAGGAGGCTGAGGCAGGAGAATCACTTGAACCCGGGAGGCGGAGGTTGCAGTGAGCCGAGATCATGTCCCTGCACTACAGCCTGGGCAACAGAGTGAAACCCAATCTCAAAAAAACAAATAAACAAACAAAAACATGGACTCCGGACCCAAACTGCCCATGTCAGAACTCAGTTCCACAACTTACTAGAGTGACCAAATCATTCATTCATTCTCATAGAGCCTGGGTAAAAAGGGGCTAATAGGAATTCTATGAGGGTCACATGAAATAACATAAACATAATGGTGCCACAAAATAGTGAACACAATATATATTCGCTCCATTGTTCTCAAAACCTAATCTTATTTGGGTTTAAAAAAAAAAAAAAAAAAGGCCTCAGTGGAGACTTTTGGAGACTTGGTGAGTGTCCTTAATCACTGTATCCTTCCCTGCTTCCATTTTACAACTCTTCTTCTTCAAGCCCCTTCAGTCCTCCTAATTTTTTCAGGGCCCTCCTCCTGGGGTGGTGGCACATGGCTCTAGTGCAGCTGCCCAGAGCCTGGTATCAGAGTATGAAGATTTTGATCTCAGGTGAAGCCATTCTCGCTTTTTATCTTTTTCTATCTTCCGCGCTTAGGGCTAGGCGTCCTAAGTAGTAAGTGTGTTTCAGGAGGCTGGAATCTCATACAATGGAGGAAACTGTATGAGATTCCAGCCTCCTGAAATCTCCTACAATTTCCTCTATTGTATGCTTCTTTCTCCAAATCTTTCTCCTGAGATTTGGAGAAAGAAGCATGAGAAGCTAAAGATGCAGGAGTTGCCTACGCTGGCTCTCACTTCGTGGTTATGCAGTTGCACAGGCCCTGGGTGACGGCTGAGGGCTGGTGTTCTGAGTGTTACCTGCTCGCAGACAAGGGAAGTATAAGCCGGGCCCTGCTGGCTTCTCGGGACTGCGTGAGAAACAGCAGACGTAATAAAAGCGCAATTTCCTATAAACTTAAATGCTTAAGGGCTGTTAGCAGTTTCCCTGCCCCGGCGGCTCCTTTAAGAGGCGGCGCGTTGCCAGGGTGCTCTGTGGCGTCGCATTCTCATTGGTGGGCGACGGCAAGGGGCACTCCGAGGCAGCCATTTCCAACGAGCTGGCGGGGGGCGAAAGATGGCGACGCCCCTCGGGTGGTCGAAGGCGGGGTCAGGATCTGTGTGTCTCGCCTTCGATCAACTGCGGGACGTGATTGAGTCTCAGGAGGAGTTGATCCACCAGCTGAGGAACGTGGTATGCAGCCAGAGGAGCTCGGGGAGATGGGGGGCCAGGGCCTGTTCCGATGCGGGGGCGTGGCTAGAACGCATGGCCCAAAGCGTCATCAGGAGGAGGCCGGGCTCAGGGCGGACCTTCCTGAACCGGGGAATTTTAACTAAAATCAAGCCAAATTCTCCATTCTGGTTGCCTGGTTGCTGCAAGAGCTGGTAGAGAGCCCCTGAGCCTCAGTTTCCTCATTTTCAGTGAAGACGACTTCACTGAGTTTCCATGGCCCTCGTGTGCAGGCAGAAAAACTGTGTCATGCCTTCTGTTATGGACACCCTGCCCCAGAGTCAAAGGCAGTGCCATGCTGAATGCAGTAAGCGCAGATTTGGCCCTTGCCAACGCTAACTTAGGGGCCTCCAAGAACTTTACGTCCCTTAGCTTTTGCCTTCTCAATCAAACCCCAGCTAATGGGTGCAAAGCATTGCAGTCACAGATTACTTGGGTAGGTGTGATAGAATCCTAGCCAGCTGGAGTTCATGGTTTTTCTGTCTTGATAAGAAGGTTGGGATGTGTCTCCATCTCAGAAATAAAACTGGCTTCACATCTATTTCTCACTCTAAGTTGTTCTTAGACAGTTTATTCCCTTCTGGGAAGTTGAATGTGGGGGAAAGGGGAGAGAGGTCCTATTTGCCACCCTAATGCTGACATTCAACAAAATGTGTGGAACTCTAGGCACTGAATTACCTTTGATTCCCAGAAAGTACCCAGGTCCCTCTCTTGGCAGCTGACCTTCACATGTGTGTCCTCACCATCCAGAGTGCTTTTCTCTCTATCCCTCTTCTGGCCTACTGTATATAGCAGTCAGATCTCAGGTCTAACATCCCCTTCTCTGGAAGTGATTCTCACCCTTCCCCAGGCTGGGCCAGGGGCCTCCTCTGGGCCCCAGATCCCCTTATGTCTACCCATCAAGGCACACGATATGTTAGAAGTGCTGACTGTGGACTGCCTCCTCCATGAGACCGGCTGCTCCTTGAGGGCAGCACTTAGAGCTGAGTCTGTTTATCTGTGGACCTGAATTCTCCTTTCTCAGGGCTTCAGTCTCATCCTAGATACCATAAGCATCATCCTATTATCGGCCTTTGGTCCAGGTCCCTAGAGGGCACCCCTTTTACCCCAGGCCCAAGCCCTTACTCAGCCAGGCTCTGTTGCAGATGGTTCTCCAGGATGAAAATTTTGTCAGTAAAGAAGAGTTCCAGGCAGTAGAGAAGAAGCTCATGGTAAGTAATGGCCTCTGCAGGCTCCTAATCTTCCCCCATTTCCCAGGACCCCTGTGGTTAGGCAGCCTCATTAAGTATTGGCCTCTGATGGGTTCAGTGGCTTCCTCCTGTAATCCTAGCACTTTAGGAGGCCAAGGTGGCAAATCACTTGAGGGCAGGAGTTCTAGACCAGCGTGGCCAACACGGTGAAACCCTGTCTCTACTTAAAAAAAAAAAAAAAAAAAAAAAAAAAATTTAGTCAAGCATGCGTTGTAGCAGGTGCCTGTAATCCCAGCTACCTGGGAGGCTGAGGCAGGAGAATTCCTTGAACCAAGGAGGCGGAAGTTACACTGAGCTGAGATCACACCACTGCACTCCAGGCTGGGCAACACAGTGAGACTCTGTCTAAAAAAAAAAAAGAAAGAAAGGTTGGCCTCTGAGAACCTCCAGCCCCAGTAGCAAGGCCAGAATCTCCCTGTGTTCTGGTTTCTATGTGTCCCTTTGAGAAAGGGGGCTGGTTAAGGGGGTTTAGGAGACCTAAGGTAGCCTAGGGTAATGAGGTGACTGCTGCTGCCCCTGCAGGAAGAGAAAGCTGCCCATGCCAAGACGAAGGTCCTCCTGGCCAAGGAAGAGGAGAAATTACAGTTTGCCCTTGGAGAGGTAGAGGTGCTGTCCAAGCAGCTGGAGAAAGAGAAGCTGGCCTTTGAAAAAGCGTGAGTGGGCCTCAGTAGCAGGTGTGGGGTTTGGGGGATGCATCTGCTTGCCAACCTGCCCACCCTCCCGTCTTACCTTCCCTACCCAGGCTCTCCAGTGTCAAGAGCAAAGTCCTACAGGAGTCCAGCAAGAAGGACCAGCTCATCACCAAGTGCAATGGTAGGCGGGAGGCCCGTGCTCCCCACCACACTTATGTAAATGGGCTCTTTCCTAACCGCCCAGTGCCTGTGTCAAAGGCAGGGTTTCACTCTAACACCTGTCCCCAGCTGAGGATACAGGCAGGCCCGGGCGGGCCACACCTTCGAAAAGGCCTTAAGGGACCAGGCAGGCCACGGAAATGAAGGAAGCAGTCGGTGTACTATATTCTTCACCACCATAAAGAAATGGGCTTGCTCCCATTTTTCCTGAAACGTACAACCTTCTTAGTCCAACTTTTTTTTTCCCCAGTTTGATGGGTTAAAAATAGTGCACTTTACTCCTAACTCTGATACAAGAGGAACACAGGGTGAGCACTGTCCTATTTGGGAGCTGACCCTTAGTCTCAGGGTCAGGACTCAATAGGGAAGGATGCACATGCTGATAGGGGACCAGGATTACCAGATCTTTAAAATGGAAATAAGGGTTGTTTTTATTTTTATTTATTTTATTTTATTTTGAGACAGAGTCTCACTCTGTCGCCCAGGCTAGAGTGCCGTGGTGCGATCTTGGCTCACTGCAACCTCTGCCTCCCGAGTTCAAGTGATTCCCCTGCCTTAGCCTCCTGAGTAGCTGGGATCATAGGCATGTGCCAACATGCCAGCTAATTTTTGTATTTTTAATAGAGACAAGTTTTCCCCATGTTGGCCAGGCTGGTCTCAAACTCCTGACCTCATGATCCACTTGCCTCGGCCTTCCAAAGTGCTGGGCTCACCATGCCTGACTATTTTTATTTTTTTAAGACTAGGTATCACTATGTTGCCCAGGCTCAAGTGCCTGGGCTCAAATGATCTACCCACCTCAGCTTCCCAAGTAGCTGGAACTACAGGTGTGAGCCACCAGGCCCAGGGAAAGCAAGTTTTGTTTTGTTTTGTTTTGTTTTGTTTGTCTTTGAGACACAGTTTCACTCTGTCACCCAGGCTGGAGTGCAGTGGCGCGATGTTGGCTTACTGCAACCTCCGCCTCCCGAGTAGCTGGGACTATAGGCGTGTGCCACCATGCCCAGCTAATTTTTGTATTTTTAGTAGAGATGGGGTTTCACCATGTTGACAAGGATGGTCTGGATCTCCTGACCTTGGGATCCATTCGCTTTGGCCTCCCAAAGTGCTGGGATTACAGGCATGAGCCACCACGCCCAGCCTGTTTTTTTTTTTGTTTTGTTTTTTTGAGACAGAGTCTTGCTCTGTTGTCCAGGCTGGAGTGCAGTGGCACACGGCTCACTGCCACCTCCATCTCCCCAGCTCAAGCGATTCTCCTGCCTCAGCCTTCTGAGTAGCTGGAATTACAGGTGCACACCACCACGCCTAGTTAATTTTTGTATTTTTAGTAGAGATGAGGTTTCACCATGTTGGCCAGGCTGGTCTCGAACTCCTGACCTCAGGTGATCCATCCGTCTCTGCCTCCCAAAGTGCTGGGTTGGCAGGTATGAACCACCGCGCAGCCAAAACCAAGTTTTAATGGAAGCTTTTTTTGACTTTTTAGTATTGGCAGCTGATTTTGAAATTTTAAAACTATTGTGTAGGCCAGCTATTCTGTGGGCTCCCAGTTTTCGGCTCTGCTCTGTGCAGATGCCTGCAGGCCACTCATTGGCTCAGTTGGTGCCGTAAGTTGTAGAGCACCTTCAGAATCAGCTACCTGGTGCCCCTACAGCTCAGGAGCCTGTCTCACTTCCCAGAATGCTAAACTCCCCTTACACGGTTTAAGAAGTAGGTATGAATTCCAGAGGCAACATCTGCTTCGTTCACTTTAGCAGATCTCCAGTACGTCAGAGCCCAAGTGCAAAAGGTTCAAGGTCCTTCCTGGTGGGGCTCCCACCTGGAGCCTTGGGTACCCTGCCTTCCACCAGTCCAGACTTCTCTCTCCCCTGGTGAGTGCTCTCACTGGGAAGATGCCAGCAAACATCTTGATCTGGCCAGGCAGGCTGACAGGTCTCATAGTAGTTTGGTCACCAGCTCTTGCCAGGGCAGGGCCCAACAGGCAGTAACTGCCCCCCCATGCCCAAGGCCATTGGTACCCTCAGTCTTGCCCTCTTCATGGGCATTCCCCTACTTTCCAAAAAAGAACCTGGGGTTCTTTCCTGGTGGGGCCAGAGACATCCTTCCTCTAGGCTATTTCCCTCCAACAGAGATCAGTCAAAACCCCAGGGCTTTGGATCTGCTTGTTGGAAGGTGTGTGTGTCATGGGGACAGGTCCTGGCTACCTTGCCCAGAATATTCTAAACCCCTCTAGTGGGACACAAGCCCTCCTGAGCCAATCTGGTGATGTGGACCTCACCCTGGCCAGTGTCTCCCACCCCACTCCCCACCTACAAACTACCCTTGAGTGGTTTCAGTCTGGCTTTTACATAGTTCTTTACTTTCAAAGAGATTTTCTAACCATTCTCTCATCATCGGGTACCACAGGCTTTTATTTTCAAAGAGTCATATATATTTCTAATTCTTTTTCCCAAACGAACTTCACAAGTAATACCAATTAGCTGGATGGCCTGGGCAGGAGATTCAAGAGTCCTCACCCCATGGCCTGGTAAACTTATGTCTTCATTCTCTCCCTGCACCTGTCTCTCTTTTCCATGCTGTGCCTTATCTTAAGTGCTTAGACATTTCTGTATTTTCAGAGTTTGTGTTCTAGCTAATCAATCCATGTCCAACCTATTTTTTTTTTTTTTT